ACAAGGAAGGTCGGTGCTTTATACACAGTGTGGCGTTTGTTTGTTCCCGGTTGTTTGTTGTCAGCCTCGCCGCGTTGCGTCCACCACGGTCAGCCTCCGAGATTGAACCACCGCCGGAGAGCCCCGAGAACATATTCGGAGGCCGACCGGGGGAAGTCGAACGTCTGCATGTCGGTCTCGACTGCAATCCGGCGAGGTGCGGCATGCAGCATGGTTCTCCGTCCCAATCCTCAGCATTGTAGGCACTGTTCTTCACGGATGGATGAGATAATATGTTTTCTGCACACGGTGAGTAGACGGGGATTGGTGTTGAGCATGACAATGCAGCACATCGAGCAAGCTAGAAGGGTGTTGTGCCACCCGGGGATAACCATGATCGCGCTCACGTGTGGTCACGCGTTTGTGACGAGACGCGTCGAGACGGTCGGCTGTGACTTGCCTCGAGGTCGACAATGGCATGCCGTTGACGGGAAAGACAGGACGGAGTTCATCAAGCCCAGACATGGATTCAATCGAGTTCGGTCAGCAGGATAACGATACAGCCTGCGCACAGGAAGAGGACATTCACGTCGAGTGATGTCGTCAATAGCGGGACTGCAGTCACTGTACAAGTGCATCGATTTAATCATACACCACGGATACAGTACAAATCCTATGCTTCCACGTTACGTGTTCATGCCAGCGGCTTCGTCTTGTACAACAATACGTATGCAGCTGAGTCCTCTCCTCCACCCTCTAGTGTGGGCAGCTTGTCCTTCGGGAAGATCGACACCTTGTCGTCGTCAAACTTGTACCAGTCATCATCATCGTCCGCCAGGAAGGCTCCACTCGGCGACAGGGTGGCGGATTGGATTGCACTTTTCTTCACGAAGCCCATGTAGTGTCCGGAGTCGGCCGCTGCGCCCTTATGCGTGACGATCGCTGGGGGATACGTCAGGCGATGGAAATAGTTTCTCTATGCGGACGCACCTATCAGCTCATATTGCCCAGTGATGCTGCAGCCAACGTCTGCTTGCAGATCGGGGTGCACCAGGGCTTCAAGCTCCTTCAGTTCTCGTTGTCTGTACACAGACTCGGCTTCAAGACTCGAGTCCACATGCATCTCCTGGGGGTCCTCCGTCTTTACGATGACCCATCAAGAACGTTAGCCCAATTCGAGCGGTCCGAAATGATGGGCTCACCGACGAAGGCTGGCTGGGCACTGCCAACGGCGCTGAACTGCTCGCCTCTCCACGAACCGCCGCGGAGCGCTTCCGGATTGTACGCCGTTCAGCACGATTGGCCTCTACATCTTTCAGCTTTGTCGAGAGAGGCGCCATCTTCTCCTTCAGCTCCTCTGTGACTAGCTCAAGAGCATCGAAGTCCGTCGGAAACTTGACTCTTCGCTAAAGCACAGACAGTCCTGTGTAAGTGCAAGATCATAAATGACAGGGTTGAAATGATTACGGTACCATGATCTTTGCTTTGCGGGCGATATCCCTTCTCCATGCGAAGCGTACCATGTGCACAGTCAGATATGAAGGGAGACGGGATAGTCGTGATGTAGACGTATATAGCGCATCGCGGCCGAGGCTTGGAGAGATCTTCTCGATCTTCTGATCGAGAGCCTGTGCGAAGATTATATTAATATTCATTTGCTCACACAACATGTGTGTAGGACACACTTCTTTAATACCTTGAAGCATGTAATTAGTTGAGATCGAGATGTTGCACTCGATCTTGAGTACTTTTTCAAAGGACACGGTAGGTGGCTCTTCGGGTGCCTCGTCACACTTGAGCCTGGGTAAACAATATATTCAATTGATTAGGAAGACTTGCTCGAGTAATCACACTCACTCTCGCCGCATCTCGCCAGTCAAGTATTGATCGATGAACTTCTTGGAGACTGACGCTTCCGAAGAAGATACAGGGAGTCCCGGTACTTCCTTGAGCGAATTTGTCAGCTGTATCCAGCACTCTTCGGCATCTATGGATGGGAGAATGAGCAATACGCCCACAGCATCCTTCGTCGCACAAACCTTGCTGTGAATAGGCGGCTAACATCGTACCTATGGCTTTCGAGTTCTGCGCGCGTTCAGCAAACTGCGGGAACGCCTGGCGCAATGAAGCAAGAAAGCCTCCAGGTACGACGCTCTCCGTTGTGCGCGACATTTGTGTGTATAAACTCTTGAGCGCTGAGGGTAGGCCTGAAGGAGCGCCTCTGAAGGCGACGATAAACATCAAGCCACATCGTTCCCGAACGTGCGAAACAAGCGTACTCTTGCAATGCAATCTGCAATTCTGGGATCGCACGCATGGCCTGGAGGGTTGCATTCATGTAGCATGTGTTGCCGAGATTCTTCAAACCAACAGGAAGCGAGAGCTACGCAAGCATCGTGCATTAGACAACGAGTGGCTTGCTGTGCAGCAATATAGCAGGACATACTGCTTGCGCGAGGGACGTGTCGTCCATATCTTTGTGGAGAATTGTCACATGTTTACAGACTCCCTGTATATTACGCGGGCATACCTTCCATGAATACTATTGGTTTCTCTGGAGGCTTTGGTAGCTCACCAGCCGCACCAATAACCATGAAGGTTTGACCCTACCAATAGAATTGGTTTCACAATATGCATAAACGCGAACGATAGGTGCTTACCTCTTTGGGTCCAACCTTCCTCCAATCAGTGTCATCCTAGCGTACAAGGAATGTTTCTAGACTCAGTGCATGAGGCGGGATTATCGTAAATGAACAGACTTTAAGAGTGCCGCCCTTGACCATGACTTTCATTCGATCGACCGGTATACCAGTCACTTGGTAGACTGCCTCTTTGAAGATGGTTGGCGGTTGGTCGGGATCTAGTTGCAGATCATGTATCTTGCCTGCATGCTTGATCTTGACAGCGAGCGGGGCCATTGTGTCTACTGAAGAGGAAGTTGGAGGTGAAGACGCAACCCTTACGCGGAATTTGACTTTGAATTTCTGCGACGCGCGTCGATTACGCGTCAAACATCACGTGGAGGCAAGAGCGCCACTTACAGTCGGGCGCTTGCAAGCATATTGAAGTTATCATCGCCCGATATGGTGTTATGGATTTTGATAACTCAATCGTACAGTGTTACGATCGTCGCTGGAGCTCGTCTGCTATCTTGCCTCTACCAGCGCGTTCTTGTACTTAACTCCTTGCGCAGACTTGCGCTAGCTACGGGTCCGTTACTTCTGGCGCAGTCACCAGGCGCACGTCTTGCAGAAATCAGAAGCGCAATCCAACTTCCCCCGTGCGCGACGCGCGCCGCATTACAGAGATATCAATACACTCCTTCTACCCGATTATCCGTCTCCTGGCCGCTGCATAATTAGTTTTAGACATGCCGTCCAGTGCAGAGGGCGTAGAGGATATTGACTACGTTCAAGGATGCGTCACTCCTAGACGTAAACGTACCTGGGAGCCTGCATCCATCACAAATGCGTTGACTAACAAGCGAAGGCGCATTTCCATGGCCTCGTTCGACCTAACAAAGGAGATCGATACCGTGGAGAACTTTCCCAGTAGTAGCAAGGCAACTGTGGTACGTGACATATCCTACTCTTTGGAGCGGACTTCCGACAGAACCCCAAGGCGGATCGTTTCATCGCCGCACCACGGGAATCTCCAATGCCACTCAATATCACACCCAGGACCAACCGAATTGCACGACAATTTGGACTGGCCAAGGATCGGGTACTCAGCTTTGCGGACAGCAATACAGCTACCCCTGGTAGTCACGACCTCACTGCGCACCGTACGAACTTTCAACGCTTATTCTCCGTAACGCCCAAGGTCTCGCCTGCATCCGCCGCCGCGCATCTCGGCGCGCGCAAGCACTTCGTACTCGCACTAGACGGACCGGGCGTACCTGCAGATCCGTTCGCGTTTCCACTCACATGGTCAGCGCAGAATGCGATTGCGGTGGCATGCGGGCGCGATCTCTATTACCAGGATCTCGGGACACGGAACATCACGCACTTAGGCACACTCCCGCGGCACGGGCATGAGCACCTCGTAAGTATTGAATGGTCGCGCACTCATCCGCAGATGCTTGCTGCGGGCACAAGCACGGGCGTGTTGCAACTTTGGGATACAAACGCAAGTGGCACGACGCGAGACTGGCACTGCAAAGATTTTGGTGGTACTGGCGGGATGGACTGGTGGGGCGACTTGCTTGCAGTTGGCGAGGAGGAAGGGACCGTCGAGTTGTTTGACGCACGCGAGCCACAAGCCGTCAGTACGCTATCGGTGCATAAACACAAGGTGCTGGGTGTGAAATGGAGTACAGATGGTGACTATCTAGCGACAGGAGACGAGCGTGGGGTCGTACAAGTATGGGACGCGCGGGCAGGAAAGGTACTCACGAATACGGACAAGAAGGGAAGCAAGATGAAACACAACCGCGCTCCTGTGAAGGTGAGTGTACGCGTCACATCCTTTTCGCATGCCGCTAACTATGATCCAGGCACTAGCATGGTGCCCGTGGAAGACCAATCTCCTCGCCACGGGATCTACGTATCCTGATGGCAAGGTCCGTATTTGGAATGTGAATTCGACATCTACGACCATGCCTATGCACACCCTCTCGCTGAACACGTCTGTCACGTCGCTCATCTGGTCGCCGAACTGCAAGGAGCTACTCAGCACACATGGCACGTCATGGCAGCCGCGTTCCGCATCGATGCCAGGTCTGTCAGAGCTGAACGTGCTCCCGTCGGGCGCGGTGCCTGTGAAGTCGCACTTCACCAACTCCATCACCGTTCACTCGTATCCCTCGCTCAAGCGTGTGGTGAGCGTGCCCGCGCACTCAGCTGCGGTTGGACATAGCTGCCTGAGCCCGGACGGAACGCTTGTATTCACGATCTGCCCCGCAGAGGAGGCTATGAAGATGTGGAAGGTGTGGGGTATCCCGGAGAACAGAGGGAGAAGGGAGAGTGTATTCGATAAGTGCGGGATCCGGTAGGTTAGTATGGTGGCTCGCCCCCGGCGACTTACAGCAGTCGCTTGTTTCGTCGTTTGTTCTCTCTTTAACTGGGACATTGGGTACTTTTCGTCGCTGTGTCTCCCAGGGTGTATGACATATCGCACCCGTCGCTGTCGTTACCACTATCACTGCTGTAGCCTTATTTACCATTTTTGAATCTCATTATGAATACCCTGGCCCACACAAGGCCTACGCTATACTCACGTGGGGTTAGAGCGGTGCGACCACCAGGGTAGAATTAGTGGTAAATGAGATCTTATTATGGAAGAAGACGAATGATATTATCGCCATAGCAAGATCGCATAGGTAACAATAAAGCTGTGGGTCTGTGGCCAGCGCTGTAGTCCGAATAAGACATTTAGACTAGATTTACCATTCTTTGTGTGTGGTCTGGGATCGTGCTTCCACACGATGATGCTGTACAAGACAGCAACGCATTTTTACAGTAATACAAGTTCATATACACGTCCAGATTGACCTGTACAAATACATAGACTGAGGGAAATGCTTGCGTACGCCGGGGCTACGGACCGTCGTCGACCTCGAGGCAAGTCACAGCCGACCGTCTCGACGCGTCTCGTCACAAACGCGTGACCACACGTGAGCGCGATCATGGTTATCCCCGGGTGGCACAACACCCTTCTAGCTTGCTCGATGTGCTGCATTGTCATGCTCAACACCAATCCCCGTCTACTCACCGTGTGCAGAAAACATATTATCTCATCCATCCGTGAAGAACAGTGCCTACAATGCTGAGGATTGGGACGGAGAACCATGCTGCATGCCGCACCTCGCCGGATTGCAGTCGAGACCGACATGCAGACGTTCGACTTCCCCCGGTCGGCCTCCGAATATGTTCTCGGGGCTCTCCGGCGGTGGTTCAATCTCGGAGGCTGACCGTGGTGGACGCAACGCGGCGAGGCTGACAACAAACAACCGGGAACAAACAAACGCCACACTGTGTATAAAGCACCGACCTTCCTTGTTTCCTCCTTCCATCGCCTCTTCGACCTGACCTCCA